CTGGGTTTTTGGCTCACGTTCAGGGGCACCTATCTCAGCCCATTCATTGAAGAGGGGGCCCAGGCACCAACCTCAGGCTCTGTGGATCACGGTGCTGTTCCTGTGATTTCCTTGGCACCCAAATGCTGAGCTCTGCCATGCCTGAGTCCCTCTGTGGATCTGGGTTGTGATTCCCCACCCTTGGCAATAATCAGAGCACTCTAATGACAGCAGCTAATGAATCTGTGCTCCCCCCAGGACAGAAACGCAGCACAGGGGGGATCCAGCCAAAGTCCTTCTCTCCTTCCTGAGCAGAGAGAAACCTCCAGAGCGAATGGACCAGAGACACAGCCCAGAGAAACCTGCTCCCTGCTGCCAGCTGGGGCTTTGGGCAGCCCTGGGGGCCAGGTGCCCATCAGCACCAGGAACCTTTTATTTCAGGGATACCCCCAGGTCATCCCAAGGTCACTGCAGCTCTTCATTCCCCTCCACCTGCCTATTTACGCTCATGCCCCAGCCATACACCCCCCCAATGGCCAGGAGTATGGGGTCAGAGTCACGTTCTTGTTGTTTAAATGATAGAAAGACTCACAAGAGAGATAGGACAGTGAGACAGGGACAGCTGGGTCCCTGCAAGTAAGGGCTCTGGGCAGCTACACTGGGCCCAGCCTCTCAGATGGGGTCTGCACAGGGCCCTATTGGGTATGTCTACAGTGCAGCTGAAAACAAGCCTCACATAGATTCACACTAGCAAGCCTCGATCTAGCATATTAAAAATAGCAGTGTGGACATTGCAGCTTGGGCTGCATCTCGGGCGCTTAAGCCCAACCAACACCCTCGGCTTCAGCCCGACTGCAATGTTCACACTGATTGTGTGACAGCTCAAGCCCCGCTAGTACAAATCTGTCTACCCGGGCTGAGGCACACTCTCAGCAGCAGTATAAACACATCCTATCTGGCCTGTCAGCCCTGCACACCAGGTCAGCTGCTTAGGCAGCTAAGCCCCTCTCGTCTCCCCACCCCTCGGCTTGGCATTTCACTCCTGGCTAGCTTCAATGGCTCCCCGCACAGTTTGCTGGCTTCAGGAATCTCTTCCCTGGACACCTAACTCTCCCCATGCATTGTACAGGGAGGGAAGCGAATTCCACTGGGCAGCAGGGTGCTGAGGAATTAGGTGTTGCAAGACTGAGCAGAGCAATGCTTAAGTACCTTTGAGGATCTGGGCCGCAGATCCTCACACCCCTTTCTGTCCCCTACAATCTCAGTAATCAGCACCTCCCCCTCTGCCTCTCAGCATGTCAGTTCCCTTACCCCTCCCCAGACAATGCATTTCCCAGTTTATTTGCACTGCTTCAGACTCCAGTAAAAGAAAATTGTGAATTTCTAGTCTATGTGGGTTCTCTGGTGTCGAATAAGGATTGAGCTCCGGCCGAAGCTTTTCCCGCAGTGAAGGCATGTGTATGGCCTCTCTCCCGTGTGGGATCTCTGATGCGTGATGAGGTTGGAGCTCTGACTGAAGCTTTTCCCACAGTCAGGGCATTTGTAGGGTCTCTCTCCCTTGTGGATTCACTGGTGCCTGATACGAGTTGAGCTCTGGCTGAAGCTCTTCCCACACTCGGAGCACCCGTAGGGTTTCTCTCCCAGGAGGAGTCTCTGATGCTGAATAAGGTACCTCCTGGCGCTAAAGTTTTTCCCACAGTTGGGGCATTTATAAGGCTTCCCTCCAATGTGGATTCTCTGGTGCTCAAAAAGGGTCAAGCTCTGGCTGAAGCTTTTCTCACACTTCTCACATTTATAGGGTCTCTCGCCTGTGTGGATTCTCTGGTGCACAATGAGGGCTGATCTCCAGTGGAAGCTCTTCCCACATTCCCCACATGTCATGGATCTCTCCTCTCTCCGGTTTCTCTGCTGAATGATTTCTTTGAGTTTCCTGACTCCTCTTCCCCTCTGAGTGGTTTTACTCCCTTCCTTCCCTGGCTGGTTTCTGTCATGGCTAGATACCCTGCACTGACTCTCACAGGCTTCTGCCTGCTCAGGACTCTCGGAAACATCCCCTTCAACTCTTCCTGACAACATCCCGGGCAGTTCCACTGGCTCAGCACCTTCCTGCTGGGGATTCTCCTCCTCACTCTCCCTCAGCATCCCGTCACCTGCTGGGACAGAGACAGAATCCAGACAGGAGTCACTCCTTGTGGCGGGGGGAAGGGAACCTCAGCTGGGGAATGGGAAATGGAGGAACAAGCACAAATAAATGCTGGAGAGATTGAAACATCAGCAGCTGAATCCCCTAAGCCCTTCCCCAGAGGAAAGAGGGGAGGGGACCAATTTGTTCTCCACATCCCACCTGAACACGCAGAGGGAGGGAGCTACTGCCAGGGGTCAGTCATGGAGGGTGGGAAGCGATAAGTGATGCCTACTGTGAGGATATGACACCTATCTGAATGGGAGGAGCTCACAGGGCCTTTGTGGGAATCCCAGCTTCTTCCTTAATCCACTGATGATTTTCAAATCAGTTTAGCCAGTTCCTCACCTGTGCAGGCCCCTCTCAGGATCTCCCTTCCCACAGAGACCTGGAGGTCAGGAACCCACAGCTTTTCCTCTCCTTCCATCATGAACATCATATCAGCTTTCCAAATAGGGAAATCCTGCTTGGAAGAAAGAGAACAGCTGAGTTCAGGTGTGTTACATCCACACTAAGTATTTGTTATAAAGAATTTTAAACCCAGGGTTTTAAACTCAGCCCCATTTACCTTCCTCTGCACTAGATATTTCTTGGAAATCCCTGATGCTAACAGTACCCCAGTGCTGGCAACCCTAGAAGCACCAGTGTAAACAGGATCCAGGGAAACACCAGCACATTTATGGCAGTGTCATCTGGATCTGCTCTCTGACACTGGTATGTGGCACATTTCACGCCTGAATTTCCCGCAGGTTCTTTCCCTTCAGATGGAAGTTCCAGACAATGCAATGCCAGGAAAAAGAATCGGTCTGGAGGGATAAAAATTTCAAAAACAGTGAAGTGTTTTAGAAATCAAAATCCTGTTTTCAAAAGTGGCCTGATCTACACAGAGGTTCTGTACCAGTTGAGCTATTCATGCTTGTAGGGGGTGAATAAGCTGTCTTTAAACACTTTTATGTGGTCAATAAATAAATTATAATAATAGTAATAAATACAGTATTTGTATTGCCATAGCACTTAGAATTGCTAGTCATGGCCAGGACCTTGTGCTTGGTGCCGTACAAACAGAACAAAAAAAGTCCCTGCCCCAGAGAGCTTAAAATATAATTATACAAGACACAACAGATGGGAACACAGAGATGGGGGAGCACAAGGAGACAATATAGGTCAGCATCCCAGTAGCAAATGAAAGACGACAGGAAGAGTGGGGATAGCCCATGAACGACCTCCACAGGGAAGACAAGCGACTAGATGTGACAGAGAGGAGGGTGGTGAAGCACTGGAATGGGTTACCTAGGAAGGTGGTGGAATCTCCATCCTTAGGGGTTTTTAAGGTTTAACAAAGCCTTGCTGGGATGATATAGTGGTGTTGGTCCTGCTTTGAGCAGGGGATTGGACTAGATGACCTCCTGAGGTCTCTTCCAAACCTGATATTTTATGATTCTAGAAGGGGTGGCCAGCAGGGGGATGGAAAGAGAGGTTGAAGCGAGGGGCCAGGAGAATGAGCTTGCAGCAGCATGCTGAATTGGATAGGAGGGGGCTAGAGGATGTCACTGTATCAATGCCAGGGGGATTATGTCACTCTAGGGGGAAAGACAAAGCCGTGCAGCTACTGTGGGTAGACACGGCCAGAGGCACATTACAAGTTTGGCTCTCATTGAAAGTCTGTTTTGAAAAGTGGGACTTCAGTTCCTCAATCATTTAGATGCATCTAAAAATTCTACAGAGAAATGCAGGGCAGACCCAGCCCTTCCCACCACGGCTAAACCCACTGATACATTTTAACTCCCCAGCAACAGAGTGTGTGAACCAAGCGCTGGAAAAGAGCAGGACCAAAGGAACCACTTTGGGGGATCCCCTGACACTGTCCACAGGGCAGCACATTCCCCCAGCAGCTCAGGGACTAGGCAGAGGCAAGAACTGGCTTTTCCTCTCCTTGCCCCTCACAGTGTCCCAGGAAAGTCAATCTGTCCCAGGATGCTGCAGGGAATGGGGCTGGGCAGGGCTGGGGGAACCTCCCTCCCTACCTACTGCTCCTGCTGCCCCTGCCAATCTCTCTCCGTCTCCCTCCTGCCCCCTCTCCCCTTCCCTCAGGCTGGGAGATTTGGTCCCTAGCCCGGTCCCAGGGCATTCGCTCTCCCGGAGCTGGCTCGGCTCCTGCAGGCGCTCAGGAGAGCAGAGCTGGGGGACAGCAGCAGCTCTGGGACTCGCAGACCCCAGCCCGGGAGCAGAGCTGGGGCGAGGAGGGGCCCGGCCCCAGCCCTTTCCCCCGGGGTCTCTCCCCTCACCTGCAGGCTCCGGCTCAGGGGCTGGTGTGGGCAGAGCCCGGGGCTGCCCCAGGGGCTGGTTCCAGCCCCCCGGAGAAAGTCCCCCCTGCTGGGCACAGAGGGGCGCTAGGGAAGGGCTCTCCCCGCACACACCCCGCTGGGGAGCAGCAGCGGCTCAGCCCCGGCAGTTCCCACTAGCTGCAGTTCGCCGCTCCAAGCCAACGGAGGCAGCGGGAAACAGAAGCCAGCACATCCCTCGGCCCACGCCACTTCCCGCAGCCCCCATTGGCCCGGAGCGGCAAACCGCGGCCAGTGGGAGCCACGATCAGCCGAACCTTCGGACGCGGCAGGTAAACAAACCGGCCCGGCCCGCCAGGGTGCTTACCCTGGCGACCCGCGTGCCAAAGGTTGCCGATCCCTGGTCTATACATTGCTTGGGCATATGTATACTTGGCTGCTTGTGTCAGCACTGCATGTACTCACCTGGAGTGCTTGTGTTAGAATTTATAGGGTTAGAAGGGACTGCAAGGGTCATCTAGTCTAATCCTCTGCCAAGATGCAGGATTTGTTGTGTCTACAGCATCCAGAACAGATGGCTATCCAGCCTCCTTTTGAAAACCTCCAGTGAAGGAGCTTCCATGACCTCCCTAGCCAGTCTGTTCTATTGTCTTACTGTTCCTACAGCTAGGAAGTTTTTCCTGAAATTTAATCTAAATATGCTATGCTGTAGTTTGAACCTGTTGCTCTTGACCTGCCCTCTCTGGCAAGAAAGAACAACTTTTCTCCATTTTTTTTATGGCAGCCTTTCAAGTATCTGAAGACCGCTGTCATGTCCCCCCTTCATCTCCTCTTTTCCAAACTAAACTTACCCAGTTCCTTCAGCCTTTTCTCATATGACTTGCATTTGATCATTGTTGCATGCCTCTGGATCCTTTTTAATTTCTATACATCCTTTCTATTCATTGGTAACCAAAATTGGACAGCGTACTCCACTAACCAGCACCAAGTAGAGCGGTACTATCGGGTCCTGTGACTTGCATGCTATGCCTTTGCTAATGCAACCTAAAATTGCTTTTCCTTTTTTTGCAACAGCGTTGCACTGTTGACTCATGTTGGGGATGAGATCCACAATTCCCAGATCCTTCTCAGCAGTGCTGCTGCCAAGCCAGTTATTCCCCATTCAGTATTTGTGCATTTGTTTTTTCATCCCCCATTGTAGCACTTTACATTTGTCTATGCTGAATTTCATCCTGAGGTTCTGCCATCATGTCTGTTACTCCCTGTTCTGCAGTGCTATCCCATCCCGCTGGCCAGTGCTAGTTGGCAGAGACCTGAAGCAGTGCTCCCCTCAGGAAACTGTCATGAAAAAGTAACTGCTCTATTTCATCCTTCTCTGCTAGCCATATTGCCATGGCTGTCTCCCACCCATCCGAAGCTGTCCAGCTGCATGACTGCCAGTACACACAGAACAGCCTGTTCATATTAGGGACGGTCAGGACCATGGCCTCAACAGTAACTTCCTCATGCTGCCTTACTGCAGTTTGAAAATGTCACTGGCAAGGGACAAAAAAAAAAAAGATGAATTATGGGATGCCAGACGAGGAATCCTAGGAGTTTGTTAGTTTGACCCCAAACTAACAAACCAGTTAGTTTACCAGTTGGTTGTGGTAAGCATCCCACAATGCATCATGAAAAAGATCCCACAATGCAGAGAGCCCAGTGGTGGAACATTGTGTCCCGGGGTATCTGCTCAGGATGCTCCATGGTTATTTTGACCAAAGTGCAGAGCAACAATTCAGAAGGGAAGCAGCTAAAAGTGGCACAAACAAAGAGGAGTGGATGCATTCTTTCACGATAGTTATACTGATACAGTTAGAGCAGAAAAACGTACACCAGAAAAATCTTTCCCATGTAGACATGGCCTAACTTCAATGAATCTATCAGCCTCAAATTCAAATTAAAATGTAAACCTGTGGCTTCAATTTCACTGTGTTCTTCATTTCACCCATCCTTACCACTACTTCATACAAACAGCTGATTAATATTAAATAGTCCATTGTAAAGTTAACACTTTCCCCCCGCCCCCAACTCAGTCAATGAAGTATTTTTGGAGTACAGAGAATTAGCTTCTACGTGAACTTTGATTTTTTTTGTGTTTAAGTGCCTGTATAAAAAAAAAAAGAGAGAAAGAAACAGCAAGATAATTACAATGGAACAACAGTGCATTTAATGGACCTAGATTCTAAATGTACAAGGGATAATTACTCAGCCTTGTGGTCAGCCCCTTTGGTCTGACCTAGTATGGCCATTCTCATGGAATAGGAACAAGTAAACAGGTCATGGAGTTCACCTACTCATTACGGGGGCTCTGTAGTGTATACATGTATTGAAAAGGAAAACTGGAGACCCATGACAGTGTATGTATGTAACTCTACTGGCAGATATCAGTAACTCAGTCATCTAGCTAAACCTTCTAGATCTGTGAATTCATAGTAACTACATGGGAATAAAAAGCAGAATCCAAGTGTCATTTCAGCTGCTAGATTTCAGAGTAGCAGCCGTGTTAGTCTGTATCCGCAAAAAGAACAGGAGTACTTGTGGCACCTTAGAGACTAACAAATTTATTAGCCCACAAAAGCTTATGCTCTGATAAATTTGTTAGTCTCTAAGGTGCCACAAGTACTCCTGTTCTTCTAGCTGCTAGATTGTACAGTATAAAATAAACCCTTAAAGAGACTTTCCTGGAGGCCCCATTTCACCCCACAAAGATCAATTTTCAGACTCTTGTCTTCTCCAGATAAAGGACTCTGAGCATTTGAGAAACTGGGATCTACCTCATTCCTCCTTGTTCAAATCAAGAAAAATCACAATTAAACCGTTGCCTTGACTCAGTGCCCAGAGCCCAGGATAGGATGTTTTGAACCTGAGTCCAACATTGCTCCTGTACGTATCAATTCCATTAAATAAAACACCGGACAGAATAAACCAGAAGTTACAAGATAAAGATTGTTATAGGTTCCTAGTACCAAACTTAAATGTAGGAGCTGAAGAGGGGACACTCAGAGCTTCCTTGAGAAGTGAGAATCAAATCCCATCACAACATCTCAGTCTCTTGCTCTACAGGACTCCCTTCCAGGAAGGTGATTTTATTCTCTGCTTTAATAACTGTTACATGTCCTTGTTACACGGCCACTCCAGCCTGGCCTGACACTCAGATTCATGGGAATCGGCAAAGGTGTTATCCACATGGCCCATCCCCATCCAGGACCCCTCTAGGGTTTGTGTCCTGTGTGGATTCTCTGATATGTATTCAAGTCTGCTCTGAGACGTGCCCTCATTGCATTTTTAGGGTTTCTCTCCCATGTGTTTTTTCTGATGTTTACTGAGGTCTGAGCTGTATCGGAAGCTTTTTCCACAGGTCAGGCATTTATACGGTCTCTCTCCTGTGTGGACTCTCTGATGTGCAATAAGGTTGGAGCGCCAACCAAAGCTTTTCCCGCACTTGGGACATTCACAGGGTTTTTCGCCTGTGTGGGTCCTCTGGTGTGAATCCAGGTGTGAGCGCTGACCAAAGCTTTTCCCGCACTCAGGACATTTGTGGGGCTTTTCGCCCGTGTGGGTTCTCTGATGTTTAATAAGGTTCCACTTCTGATTGAAGCTTTTCTCACACTGGGGGCATTTATAGGCGCTCTCCCCCATGTGGGTTCGCTGGTGTGAAATAAGGTGTGAGCTCTGGCGGAAGCTTTTCCCGCACAGGGAGCATGTGTGGGGCTTCACTCTTGTGTGGCTTCTCTGATGGGTAATAAGGTACCAGCTCCGGCTAAAGCTTTTCCCGCAGTCGGGGCATTTATAGGGCTTCTCTGCTGTGTGGATTCTCTCATGTCTGATAACCGATGAGCTGCGTTTGAAGCTTTTCCCACACTCGGGACACTTATAGGGTCTCTCTCCCTGTGGATTCCCTGATGTGCAATGAGGTGGGAGCGGAGTCTGACGCTTTTCCCGCACTCACTGCAGGTGTAGGGTTTTTCTCCCATGTAGTTTCTCTGATGTTTTGTGAGGTCTGAGCTGAGACTGAAGCTTTCCCCGCAGTCAGTGCATGTGTAGAATTTCTCTCCTGTGTGGATTCTGTAATGTGCAATGAGGTTTCCACGCAGGCTGAAGCGTTTCTCGCAGTCAGGGCACTTGTAGGGTTTTTCTCCTGTGTGGATTCTCTGATGAATAAGGAGAACGGATTTCGAAAGGAAGCTTCTCCCACAGTTGCCGCACATATAGGGTCCCTCTCTAGTGGGAATTCTCTGTCGAACAGCTTCTTTGATTTTCTTGTTCCCTCTGCTCCTCTGAGAGGATTTACACTGTATCTTCTCTGGCTGGTTTCCCTGCTGCTTCTCTGGCCTGCACTGACTCTCATGGGCTTCTCGCTGCTCAGGACTCTGAGAAAAGTTCCCTTCACCGCTTCCTGAGACCACCCCGTGTGGTTCCACTGGCTCAGGACATCCCTGCTGAGAGTTCTCCTCCTCCTTCTCACTCACTGTCCAGTCATCTGCTGGGACAGAGAGAAACCAGACAGGAGTCAGTCAGTATATTGAGAGTTGATGGGGAGACAAATATTAGGAGCTAAATCCCTCAAACGCTGGTAGGTGAGAGACCTAAATATTAATGCAAAATATTAATAAATTTAAATATTATGCCATCAAACCTTCCTGTTCTTATACTGAAGCTTAAATATATTTACCATTGCTCTCATACATATGATGATTGCAGAAAAGTACCTCACATACATGTATTTCTGTTTATTTAATTATGGGGAAAAAAATCAAGCTAACCAAAGGAGTCTCAGGGGACTTCTACCTTATCTCCCAAAGACAAACAAATGTCAGTAAAGATAAACATCGCTTTATGGCTAAGGAGAATCTATTACCTCCAAGTGTGTTTATGCAGACTCTAGAATGCAGCTGTATAGCTTCTATTGAACTGTAACATTCTATACACTGCTTTCTTTTATACCATGCTTTGAAAGATGTATGTGTGTTAGTTATTGTGATTCCTGCTTTGTATAGAATATTTGTTAAGAGTCTGTAATTACAATATCCTGGTAGGTTGTAAATCTAGAAACCATTTGGTCAAAAAGCAACCAAACCTATCAGAGTGTTACATGAAGAAACAGGACACATCCCTCTTGTACAAGATGCCAATGTGGTATAGATATGATCTTTATCACCAGAAAAGAGATTTTGTCAGATATGTATGGTTGAGAAAGAGTCCTGGATGTGAAAAAGAATGTGAGGATGTTTTTGTTCAGAAAACCTCAAAAAGAAGTAATGCTTAAGATGTGCTATCACAGCTCTAAACCAAGTAATAAAACTGAGTCTTTTATAGCCATCATATTTACAAAGAAAAACTTCAGTTAAACCCACCCAAAGAATTCTAGAAATATCCTTATTGAAATTGATTTGTTTTGTAAACACACTAATGTCTTCATTCTTTAAATATGGAGACAATTTATGGTGGGAAATATTTTACGGAAGACATTGGTTACTTCCAAATCATGTTTCCACTTAAAAAGTGAAAATCTTTATTGTTTCTCGAATGCTTAAGGAGATGAATATTTGCAAATATTTTGAATCTAAATGAAAATGTTCATATGAAAACTGCCTGATATTGTTCTATGAATGGTAAGATGTCTCATGCACAAATGTAGCAAAGTGATTTGATGCTAAATTAATTTTATTAATGTAAGAATAAGATTTAAGTATAAGATATTTACATTAATGGAGAATTAATTATTGGCAGTGCACAGGCAAACCCTCACCCAACTCTGGAAGACAAAGCTGTTGCAAGAGTCAACAACTTTTTAATTATTTAAGCTAGAGGCTTTGTAAGAGTTATTGAATTGAAAGAGACAATTTTGAGAACTAGAAGACTTTATATGAGGAATGGGAGTGTTTGAACTTTTTGAAAATAGAATTTCATTTCCTGTCAAACTCTAATAAAATTGAAAGAATATCTCAGAAAATGGACTGAATAAAAAGGAAGTTTTAAAAGTAACTTTTAAAGTTATCAAATGCTTTCCTGCCACAAAAAGGGCAAAGGCAATTTAAGAAATGTTGCACGCTCATTAGGCTGATTGCATATTCAGGAGTTGAAGGTGTCACCTAAGCCAACCCCGAAGGCATGGAGCCCATGAAAGAGTGACAGCACCAGCTTTGACGCTAAACAAGCCTGAAAGAAGTTTTTCTATAATTTCATGGAAATAGGAAAGAGAAGAGTATAAATAAACTGTGAAGTGAGCACAACCCTCTGCTACCCTGCTAAGACAGCAAGCACTTCACAACTCATCCTGTGCCCATCTCCAAGCAAGTTGCCACAGACAAGTAAGAAAAACAGAAGACTCAAGAAGAAGCCAACCGTAGAAATTGGCGATAAGTATTCCTTTCATGCAGTTTTGTTTATTTACAAAGAATGTACACTGTATCTCTGGATGCAGAGGGAATCAAATAGCAGAAAGCAGATTCTTTTGCTCACAACACCAAGAACACGCTTTGAACCTGCACCCTTGACCCAAAAACCTCTTCCCAGGTCTCTTCCAGGGTCAGCCACCATGCTTTCATCTGCTCCTTCAGGCTGCCTCTTCCTCTCAGGGTATGTCTACATTACAGCAGAACAACTACAGTGCAGCAGCTATGCCACTGTAGTGTAGACATTTCCTACATTGTCAGAAGGGGTTTTTTCAATCAATGTAGATATGCACCTCTTGGAGGTGTGCATGAGTTGGGGTTAGGGTTGATGGAAGAATTCGTCGTCAACATAATTACATCACACAGTGCATGGAATTTCTCTCACCCCTGAGCGATATAGATAGGGTGACCTAAGTTTTAGGTGTTGACCCGACTTCAGCCTCTTCTTGTGTGATTTTTCTTCACACACACACACACACACACACACACACACACACACACACACACACACACACACACACACACACCACCAA